ACATAGTAAGTGCTCAATAAATTTTTGTTACTGTAAAAATGAAATAACCTGAAATCATTGTCTGATCCATTCCAGTGCTTTAAGGAGATTTTATAACTGGCACTGTCTTGTATCTTCATTCTGTCATTCTAGAAGTCAGGAGGTCCTTTCCAGTGATTTAAAGTTCATACCAATTTGATAAAATATATTTGATCAAATCAATGATAAATTCAAAATAACATTACAACACAGCCACATACATTTAAAGTCAGTTTTGGAAGCATTTTATACTTCCAAATACTAAAACTAATTTTATATGTCTCCGTATTTTAATGATTCATAGCTATTCAACATGATGTTTTCTGAATTTACAGGAATTTATTTTATGATGAAAAAACTGAAAGGGCACATACACACACCCACATTTCTGAATCTAAAATTTCATTTAGTGATATTTTATTTAACAGAGCTCCATTCATCCTCAGAAATCAGCAAAGACATTGAAAACGTTCCTCTTTAAAAAGAAATGAAACATCATTAATATTATGGTTTTAAGAATATAATAAATAGTGACCTGTTTTATAAAATTTCTAAATCCATTATAAAGTAACATAATTAATAATATTTACCAAGAAACATATTCTTAGGATTCAATAATAAAAATAATTATGAAAAAGAACAAAATTTAATAGAAGAAAACATGAACTACAGTATCTTCCATGTACCGTGTATACTTGAACTTGAACTCTTTATTTCTGAAGTGATGCTAAACACATTATTAAAGGTTGGCAAAAAAAAAAAAAAAGATGTCACAGGTGCAAATGGCTTCCCCTGTGCAGACTAATGGTCAACTAGTAAGAACTTCACGAAAAAATGTTGCCTTGTTCCCGAGCAAGAGCCATTAGTCACTTCTGTAGAGAAGGTTTTCCAAACTATCTGTTGACCGATTGCCATATACTTGTGTGACTGACAAGAAACATGATCAATATTTATTAACAATTTGCTACATAGTACACAAAGAGAAGCACAATGCTTACACATCACAAAACTCCTAAAAAACTGGTTGACTTCTGGAAACACTTTTAAATATCTATCCTTATTCTTCAGATTATAGTTCCTTCATCAACACCACCTGCCAATCCTTTATGTTCAGTGTCTTAATAGAAGGCCTGGCAAGAGGTCACAAGACTGGAAGCTTGAATTATTACCATGTGGGAAAAGGCACAACAATGTAGTTGAGGAAAATAACATAAGTGTGGTAAGAATGAAAAAATCAACTTCAAAGGATAAAAATCAGAAACCCATCACACCAAGAACTAATATCTAAGATATTTGGTTACTGAAATTATGTAGAAATCAGTCCGAACAGTAGGAAATACAAATTTGAGAATAGTTAAGAATAACAAATGTGATTATAACATTCTTAAAATGATAGCTGAAATTAAAATAAATAGGAGAAGGGAGAAAGTTGGAAAGCCAGTTAAAAAATATGAGCCTGAGTAATTCCTATCATCTTGTGTCAGAACTATAAATTCTCAAAATAAAAAAAAACCTTAAAGATATCAAATACAAAACCCAGTTGATATCTCTTCTGTTAAAGGGGTTTACAGACTAAATGGCTCTAATATATAGATTTCCAGATCATAAAAAAATCTTAGAAACACCAAAGTACTTTCTCATTCATTTTAAAATTGTTGCAAAGAAGGAGTGATCAAAATTTCTTTCCCTCCCTCTCTTCTTCTTTCCAATAAAAGTAACTACATAGGCATCTTCTCTTAAACTGGCTTCCAATATCGAAGGAATTGTGGTCTTTTAACTCCCTGCAATTTTTTAAAAATTGGAATTAACTAGCATAATCAATGAAGAACAGTTCACTATAATTTTAATTTCAAAATGACTTTTCATCTGAGGCATCTTGTGGTCTCACAAAGAGTAACAGTAGGCCACATATATGATAGGTATAGGGTCCAGTGACCTTGGAGTAATTTCTAAAAACAAAGCTGAAACACTGATATATAAAGCAGGCTCTGGGATAAAGATCAGATTTCGGGAGAGGGGAATATAATTTTTGGTTCATGATTCCGTCATCATCAGAGAGGGAAAAATTTCCCCTTTAAAGATAAACAAAAGGGTCTTTTTTTTTTAAGTAAGAAAACAAAGCAAAACAAAAACTCTCCTTAAATGCATACTATTGGCTACTATATAATATAACTTCCTGAAACAAATTTGATCTTCATGAAATCTTTTCGAATTTGCTACCAAGTTCCAGGCACTGCTCAAGGCATCGGTAATGCAACAGTAAACAGACAGACAAAAATCCTTGCCCTTATGGAGTTCATATTTTAGTGAGAGAAAATGTAAAACAAAATAAACAACTAAGCTGTAAGCTGTATTAGGTGATGAATGCTATGGAGAAGAAATAGAGAAGAGAAGGAGATTATGAAGACTCATAGGGCTCTTTCATTTTAAATAGGGAGAGTCCTCATTCAGAAGGTGACATTTGAGCAAAGACCTGAAGGAGATGAGAAAATAAACCATGTGGATATCTGGGAGAAAGAAGCAAAGGGAACAGAAGTGCAGAAGTCCTGAGGTGGAGGCACACGTGGCAAGTTCCTGGAACAGCAAGGATGACAGTTTGGCAACAGAACGTAAAGGAGAGATTCTTAAGAGAGGGTCTAAGAAAAGTCAAGGTCAGGGGTGAGAAGACTTTAGAAGCAAGAAATTAAAGTATTTAACAACTGCTTTTGCAATGAGCAGGAAAAATGGCCAGCTTAATCAGAAACTATACTATTCTGCTATACTGGTGCCTATTTGACTTCATATACACTATTATGAGGACTTTGGTTTTTACTCTTTCAGATCTGAGTTACATTTTGAGAGACTCACTCTGGCTAATGTGCTGAAAATGGACTCTAGGAGCTAAGGGCAGAAGCAAGGAGACTAGTATTCAGATTATCAAAATATTCCAGGTGAAAAAATGTTGAAGACTTGAACCAAGGTAGTGATGATGAAGGTTGGAGAGGTGGTCAGAGTGTGGGTATATTTTGAAGGGGAGCCGACTGTATGAGCTAGCTAATTGGAGGTGGTTTTGAGGGAAACAGAAGAGAGAGAGGATGAATCCAAAGTTTTTAACCCTAGAAACCGGAAGATTGGAATTGACACAGTGAGACGAAAGGCTAAAATGGAAGCAGGTTCAAGGTGAAGGTAGAGAAGCTTGGCTCTTAAAATGTTAAGTTTGAGATGTCCATTAGACATCCAAGTGAAAATGTTAGATATACAAATGCAAAGGAAAGGATATTACCAATCTTCTCCATGAATCCCAGATACAAAGAACATTTCATTTTTTTTCTAGCACTAAAATCTTACAATTATATCTTTTTATAATTTTTAAGTAATAACTTATAAATCAGCATGCAAATATTTCAATCATATGCAACTAAATTACATATATATGTATAATATAGCATTTTTTCTTAAAAGGCAACAAAGTGTGTATGGTTTCTATATGACACTTTTATGATATCAATTAGAAAAAAAGAGAAGAAGAGAGCATACTTATTTTTATTTTTAGAGGAAGAAGTAATGCTCAGAGGTAGGGAGTTTTGATGATGTTGTTGCTAAGGCAACACACTCCACAACAGAGCCTTGAACTTTACTTCCCCACAGCCTTTTTCCATTGGCCAAATATTTAACTTTTGATATCAGAAACCCTTGACAGTTTGAAGTCATTTTCTGTATTATAATTAAAAACATTTTATCTTTGATCCTCCTAAAGAAGTAACACACTTTTTGGTGACAAGAAGTGGAGACCATATTTCTGGCTTTTTTTGCACTTTCTGGTTGCTCTGGGCTTATTCTCACTCCAGATACCTTTGCAATCACTGCTGGAAACTTGGTTCTTCCTGACATGCCTTTAGGAGGAAGCGGCAATAATGATTCCTGATAATTTCAAAAGCTGTGTGCAGAAATATTACCCGAGTTTGGACCAAAGAAAGTCAATTACATTGCAGAGAGTTCTAGGTCAATACAATTGAGTCTCTTTTACCTCGTTAGATGACTTTTCATCCGCAGATAAGGTAAATGAAGGAAACTCACAGAAAATACAAATATGTATTTATCGAGTAATCATTCTTTCTCAAATTAGGCTGAATGTTTTCATTTTACTTAATATTTGGCCTAAAATTATTTCTAACAGGATTTTTTAAATCAATGCTTTTTTTGTAATTCAAATTCCTGAATTTAGTCTCTTGTTTAATCCAGTAATTTCACGTGGAAATGTGAGAATCTTAGTTATTTTATTTACTGATTGTTCCTCTGCTATATGCAATTTAAGTTAGTTTACTTCATTTGAACTATCCTTTGAGAGTTTGTCTAGAAGTTATAGACTATTGAAAGTGTCATTTTGATGAAATAAATTATGTATTTCCCCTTTAAGCCCCAAACACACAAATATCAGAAAATGTGAAGTAATCTAACCTAAATAGCTAACCACTATTTCTCTCAAAATAAAATTATTTTGGCCAATTTTTAGATTACTTTTCAGAAACTGTCATTTTACAGATGCAGCAGATTTAGTATAACCAAATTCAACATCCACCATATGCAAAATAAATGCTATTTCAAAGCAGAAATGTATATGGATACAAAAATTATATTATACTATTTATAATATTCTATTGAAATAAATAACTCCCACATAAGGTCAATTAGTAAACACTGAGTAATATAAAATAAGCAGTTTTTAAATAGTAATAGCTTTTGGGCCAAATAGTAAATAGTGTGCTTAATATTCTTCAAGGACTTGTATAATTTCCTCTTAGACATCTTTTTCTTTTTCTTTTTCTGGACAGCTTTGGAGACAAAAACTATTTGATTCTTGGGTTTTTTTAAAATTTTTTAAACAAATATGAAATCTAAATAACTGGATTAGAAAAAAGAAAATACTTTGAATCTCTGTTATGTGTAAACGAATTACAGCCCATTGCAATTTTTCAAAATAATTGGGGACTGGTTCACTCTTAAAAGATTTGTTAAAATTTATTTTGACTTACATCTAGGCCCACCTCATTCACCACAAAAAATAATTTTAACAGAATAAATGCACTAATGTCATTAAGGACAGAAACATTTGCATTGAGACTTAAAACTAACTCAAATACAAAAAAATCTTTCAAATTGTAATAATTTCCACTATTTACTATAAAAGTGCATTTATTGTATTTAAGTCCTATAATTATTTGGTTTCTAATTTTTTTTTTTACTTCAACAGTATCATTTGCACTCTTCCCTCCTTGGAAAAAAAAAGCCCAAGTTGAGTATTTCAATCCACAAAATTGCTATTTTATATTTTTTTCTACAGTCTAGGGAAATTCATTCCCTATAGTTAGCACATAATAGACTTCATAGCTTTATTTTAATGTATTTAATCTCTTGATGTTTATAAAATAAAAACTTGAATTAATGAAAAAAATTATTTTCTCTAAGCCATTAGTATTGTGATATAATAATGTTATGAAACCAAGCCTCTATATTTTTACGTATTTGCCCCCCTGTTTCAAGTAGTAAATACTGCCAAATAGTTCAAATAGTCTTTGGGAAGCTATTTGTTTTTCAGCTAAAGCAAACAAACAAATCCTTTTCATGATTGAAGATAATTGCATACCCTGGATATTTAGCCAATCTTCTTTTTTTGTTCCAATACATTTGTATATAATCTGCCTATTCTTACATGATGTAATGGCATCACAAGTTTAAAATGCACTACTATGTTTTAGGCTATGTATCTATATAGCAGATCTAAAATGAAATATATGCCTATGAGCTTATTGTTGTCAAATTGTAAATACCATATCTAAAAGTTCAAATATCATGCCAGAGCTCTGCTCATTTTATTTTTTGTGTTGAAAATCGTTCTGAAATGTCCTCATGGCTCATGGCAACCTTTCAAGTAATTATTAATAAGTGTACAAAAAAAGAAGCAGAGAGACATTATAAACAAGGTAGACCTTTAAATAAAGCAACAGAAGAGTGTACAGACTCTCAGCGGGTTTTCTTAGTATAACTTCTTTAAAGGACCACAGACTTGTCCCTAAATGTTAGGTTGTTTGTAGAAGCAAAGGAAGCCTGTCCCTGAACAGTCTGCCACGGCTCTAAAGATTTCCTTTTGTGAAGAGTCATAAACCCCTTCCCCCAAATCTAAAACAACTCTCCATTTTCTTGATGTAATAGAAGGACTTCTCCTGTAGGAATATTTCAGAAACTTCAAATGTTTAACAATGTGAACTAGTTAACAATATTAAAGAGAACCTAGTTACTTGGTTTCCTGATTACGAATGTATGAATTTTTAGTACTGTAAACAAGCATTTTATATGAAAAGTCTTAAGGAATGTCTCTGCCTACACTTATGCAAACTATTATTAAAATAAAGAAATCATACATGCTGACTTCAGAAAATTGATTGCAAAACTCTATTTAATATGTGTATATTGTTTTAGCATAGTGCCAGGTTTGTTATTAACATGTACTAAAGTTGTTGTATTGAACTTACACAATAGAGACTTAATGCCATATGAGAGTACTCAAAGCAAGGCCTCAAATATCCTTCTTCAAATGACATCTATGTTTCACCCTTGTAATACAGATGCATGTATTTACCTTTTGGAAGAGAGTACAAATAATATCTATATGCCAGTATCACTGTCTTATTCTATTTTTTAGAGAGGCACTTCGTCATATTCCTTTGAGTATATTTTCATGATGTCTCTTCCTTTTTAAATAGCAGTCAAAAGTGTGTGCAAATATCACTGACGATATGACAGGAGACGTTATTTATTTTTAAAGCAGCTTTGGAAGCAGCTACCCCAAAACAATGATAAGAAAGAAAAGATATCATAAATAGAAGTTGAAGCAGGCAAGGAGAGAGAAGTAAATAGACTATTGGTCTATTCCAAATCAAATGGGCTAATTCTTGGAAGTACTTGTAAATATCAAGTAACAAGACAATTAAAAAAGCAAAGTATAGCTCTCAAAATGGAGAGGCAAATTCATTAGGGCGAACAGTCTAGTGTGTGTGCGTGCATGTGTGTGTTTGAGTGGCCCTGTGTTGAGTTTTATTAAAATGAAAGAATGTACGGGTGCTGATTTACTAGGTTATGCAGCAATAACATAGCTATCTGACACAGAAAATCACGAGGGAAAAATTTTCTAAACACTGCTAGTTACCTGGAGCTGAGGGGAAAATTTATAAAGTTCAACAACTATCCCTTGACTAAGCAGCTTCAAAAACATTAATGAAAACGAGTTTATTCACAGACTGAACTAGATATAGAAATTTCTAAAGGCATTACTGTTATAATAAGTGCATTCATTTTTTAGTATTTTACACAATCTAGCCAACTCTCACTGCTCATTTGAAGAAGAGCAGACTAGCAGTAATGCCAATGCAAAGTTTTCAAATGTGGGGTATAGAGATAGTGTGAATGATACTTGTAATTAGGTAGGTGTACATATAAAATATGCTTTTCTAGTAATTTTTATATATTACACTAACTTTAGGATAGGGGAAAGAAGTTGACTGTGCTGGTTGACACACGAAGCTAGTAGAATTCTGAAAACTGGCAATAAAGGGTGTACATCAAGAGAAGCTCCGGAGAATGAAAAGCTGACTGCCCTTCTGTACTTACGTTGTTTCTATTTTATTCCAATGGATCATACTGGCTAACACTTGTTTATATAGTTTATAAAGCCCAGGGCAATGTCTGTCAGTTAGGTAGGCAAAAATATAAGAACATCAATGGCTAGGGTGTTTATAAAGATATTGAATTCTTACTGAATTATAAAGAATTGTTGTGGCTTTTTGTTCCCAGTTCATCCTAATCTCTGTAATCGTCATGGTTAGAGCACAGTACCTGCCATGATTCTTCTGCACTAGACCGGAGTTTGGCATTCTTAAGTATCTTCCATTCATGTTAATGTATGTGTTTTCAAAAACATTAGACAGTCCATTGGTACACTAGAATGTGGTGTACTGATCTTGATTTCAAGATTTTTGGCCGTAGAATTATAAGTGAAATTTCTGAAGCTTTTGGCTAAGCCACATGCCTTTATTTCTGTTGGTTTTCAAGAGTTCCTGGAGATATTTTTCTTTCCAAAGAATATTTTAGTGGTAAATTCTCAATCTCTAAATTTATCACCCTGAAAAGGTGATAAAAATCTTACTTTTTCACACTGGAATTTGAATTTTAAAATAAGGTTTTTTAAATTGGCTGTAATTATAAAATTCTTTAAATAATATTTATGAATTCCAAAACTATTATATGTTATCTTAGATGCCCTCAGATGCTTTCTTTATATCTTCTGGATGCAAAGTATTCTTTCAATCTATCCTGAAAAGAGAATGTGTACATATAAGATCACACTAGGATAATTAACTTGAATATGAGAAAAACTATTTTACTCTTTGTCACCTGATACTACCTATATTACATTGAGCCCTGTTGCTTTTTTGAAGAAAAAATATATTTCACCAAAATGGCACATATTCGATTGCATTATAAAATAAATTAGAATTCCCTTAAATGGGTACATTGAAAGTCTATCTTACCATTTCTCATTCTCATTAACTTCGGTGGAAGTGGTTTTCCAGAGTTAGCATTTCATGTAATTATCTATAACATCTCTAAGATCACTGAATATGTATAATTTATTTTATAAGCTTGTCACATCAAGGATTTATTAGAGCTCAGTAAAAATATATATGTTGTGTGTATGTGAATATATATATATTTTCAACCAGTGCACAGTAATTATAAATTAGCCCCTTATCTAAGTGGCAAATTTTATGTTCACAATTAGCTGTCAAAACACTACTCACATGTGAGTTATTCTCTTAGCCAAAGAGTTTTGGGGAAAAATGTTCTTAAAGTACATTAGACAGAGATACAATGGGGTCTTGAATGAAGGGCACCTTGTGAAGACAGCAGTTTGAACAGAATCAACTCTCTTTCAGAAGAATTCCACATCTTAATTGGGAAAACAAATCTTTTCAGAAGACTCCAGGAATTAAACAGCATAGAACAGTTCAAGTATTCAGTTTAGCAGCTCATCTGCCATTCCTTGTCTCCTGAATACAAGACCGAAGATAGTTGCTAAGATGCATTTTCTCTGAAATGAAAGTCACTAGACAGGAAATACATTAATCATAATAATTTCCAAGAATCATTTAGTTCCATGTGCCCATTAAAAGTACATTTGACTGCTTACACAGTTTCAGAGAAAAACAATGACACGATCACTATGATAGCTGAAATATGGCTTCATAGGAAACAGGGCTACATTTAATTAGCTTTGATCATTTATATGTCTTTTCTGCCTTTTGTTACAGTTCATATCACTGGCATGGACTTTTGAGCCAATCTTTTCCAAATTAAATCACTACCAAAATTTACAAACTTGACATGAAGATTACATTATATTTACAAACAACTTGGCACTTACAGAATAAATTATTGACTTTTTTTTTTAATCCAGCCCAGGGCACCCATGGTTCAGGCAATGGAAAAGTCTGATGCCTTATTATATTATGCTACATTAACATGAGTAAATTGGTTTTCTGCTCTTAGTAACTCCGTAGTGCTGTCCCTGTTGCTGAAAACCAGTACCTTCCATTTCTAATCCATTGGGGGGTGGAGGTGTGTGTAGAGTTGTTAGTCCAGAGAAAGCAAAGGTTGCATATTTTCTTCCTCATTTTGATCCATGCGTTTCAGTACTGTAGGATCCACTACTGATTGGGATCTGGAAAGCATAAAGCCAATGTCAGTGAGTTATTATGAAATAATCACCTAGAGGACATTCTCTTCTCTGTTTTCTTTGTCATTACTTCTCCCATGGATGTGGATTATCTTCCCCTACATCAAGGAATTTATGAACTGTGTGGATGTTGCACATTTACGGAGAGAAGAAAACACTTACGATGTTATTTTGCATCAGAGTGAGAGAACAATCCCCTCTGGCCTCTAAATAGAATAGTGAGCCACAAAGGATGCTAAATAGACAATAGTCAGCTTAAGTTCTCCTATTCACAATGGAGCAGAATTCTTTTCTTTGAGATACTGAAAATTTCTAATGTAGGATGAATGTTTTCTAATATAATATCTCCAAATGGAAAAAAATATTAAAGCAAAATGATTGTTATGAGACATTAAATAGAAACAATAGGAGTCTTGGTTCTGTCTTAAAGGAACCTATGAAACAAATTCAACGTGAATGTGCATTTTTCTTTAACCATCATTTCATTTCTAATAATCACATCAACAACAAAAAAAAATCAAAATTTGAATGTGATTTTGTTACGTTTTCCACTAGAATGTTAAAAAAAAATCAACCTTACTCTTGAAAGTTTCATGAAATGGTTAAAGACTAAAAAAGTATAAACCCCTCTTGTTTAGGCAGCAACGCTTTATGATTAGGAAAGCACATAATCTGAAAATGCCTTAACATGCCTGTGATAGCAGGTGGGCATTATATCTCAATTCATCATTAGGAAACAACATGAAATGGGTAGGAGGGAAATAAATGAAACATGCTACTCCTGTTGCAGGAAGCTGCCATCTTAATACTGATAGCATTAAGGAAGCAGCTGCCCTTTTACAATTCTCCTTGGTAATGAATTCCTCCCCTGCTGCGACATTCCAGCCAATTGCCTTTTGCTGTGGCAATATGCCTCTTACAGACCTCATTAACTTTCGAAAAGAAAGACTAAAAGAGAAGATACAACTGCACACACTAGCTAATGAAAAAGAACAGCAACGGAACTAATTATCAATGAAGAAACAATTACAAGATTAACTAGTAAATTGACTCCTTTGTTTAAATAAACTTAAATTTGTTTCTAAAGAGGAAATGAAAATGAAGGTGAGAGCATTAAAAAAAGAGAGAGAGGTTGTTTCCTAAGACAATTTCACTATTTTATCTCAATATTAAGTAGGCATTAGGTGATTGTCTCAGAAAGGAGACTGACTAAATGTCTGTCAGTGTTTTCAAGAAAGAGAGAAAAAGAGAAAAGAATGAGAAGGATAATAATAGGCAGGAGGAACACAGATAAAGAGAAGACATTTTTCTATTACTTTTAAATGCAATAATACATAATTATCTTAGGAAAAAGTTCATGAATATAATACTTTTTAACAAAGTGGACAATTGTACAAAATGCTCAGTAATTAGACCTTTAACGTTGTTTTGTTTTTTAATTTTTAATTTGTCAATATACAATGTAGCTGGTTATTATAGCCCATCACCGAAACCTCCCTCCCTCCTCTCTCTCCCCCCTCCCACCCAGGAATGTCCTTTCCGTTTAACGTTTTTAAGTAAGATCCACCTAAGAAAATTGGTTTCCCAAGATGAATCCATGTTATAACAAGGAGATCCATCTAATATCCTGCACTAAAGCATTAACTTGACAACTGGTGTCCACTAGACTATAAGCTCCACGAGCAAGGACTTTTTCAGTTTCTTTACTCTGAACACAATGTACATCACAGGGTCTGGCACACAGTAACATCTCCATGTCTTAACGTCTATCCAATAAATAATTTCCATACTGAAAGAACCTTGGTATTAAGTGCTCAAAATGAAAAGTAAGAAGGATAATGGAGAAAGCAATTCTTCACAGAAAATAAATTTTAAAATTCTCACAAAATGAAATCTATATGGTAAGAACACTCAACATTCTGTTTGAGGTGATGAATATACTAGTTACCCTGATTTGATCATTACACAATGTATACATGAATGGAAACATCACACTTTACCCTGTATATATGTACAATTGTTTTTGTCAATTAAAAAGAAAATAAACCTTTAAAGAATCTATTTTATAATTTCTTTCAGAAGTGGTTTGTAGTTCTTATTGTAGAGGTCTTTCACCTCAGTTAAATTGATCCCTAGGTAAATAGTAAATGGTAAATGGGCTTACTTTATTTCTTTTTCTGTTAATTTATTATTTGAGTATATAAATGCAACTGATTTGGGGGCATTTATTTTGTATCCTGCAACATTACTGAAGCTATTAACCAGCTCTAGGAGTTTTTTGATAGAGTCTTTAGGTTTTTCTGTATATATAGTATTATGTCATCTGCAAATAGAGACATGAAAATATGGAAAGATATTCCATGCTCCTGGACTGGAAGGATTAACATTGTGAAAACGTCTATACTACCCAAAACAATCTACAGATTCAATGCAATTCCTATCAAAATACCAATGACATTCTTCACAGAAGTGGAAAAAAACAATCTTACCTTTCTTATGGAACAGCAAAAGACCCCGAATAGCCAAAGCAAATCTGAGCAAAAAAATAAAGCCAGAGGCATAACACTACCTGACTTCAAATGATACTACAAAGCTATTGTAACCAAAACAGCATGGTACTGGTATAAAAATAGACATTCAGACCAGTGGAGTAGAATTGAGAACCCAGAAATCACCCCTCAGGCTTATAGCCATCTGATATTGAACAAAGGCAACAAAAATCTACACTGGAGAAAAGATTGCCTCTTCAACAAGTGGTGCTGGGAAAACTGGACTTCCATATGCAGAAGAATGAAACTAGACATGCACCTCTCACCATACACTAAAATCAACTCAAAATGGATTAAAGACTTAAGTATAAGACCTGAAACTGTAAAATTATTAAGGGAAAATATAGGTGAAACACTCCAGCAACTAGGTCTGGGCATAGACTTTATGAACAGGAGCCTGAAAGCACAAGCAGCAAAAGAAAAAAATAAACAAATGGGACTGTATCAAACTAAAAAGCTTCCACACAGCAAAGGAAAAAATCAACAGAGTGAAACATAAAACTACAGAGTGGGAGAAAATATTTGCTAACTATGCATCTGACAATGGATTAATATCCATAATATACAAGGAATTCAAACAATTATATAGTAAAAAAAAACAATTAAAAGATGAGCAAAGGAGCTAAATAGACATTTTTCAAAGGAAGACATACAAATGGCAAACAGATACATGAAAAAATGCTCAACATCACTAATCATCATGGAAATGCAAATTAAAACTACATTGAGATACCACCTCACCTCAGTTAGACTGGGTACAATCAAAATGATGGTGAATAACAAATGCTGGCGAGGGTGTGGGGAGAAGGGAACACTCCTACACTGTTGGTGGGACTGTAAATTAGTACAATCACTATGGAAAACAGTATGGAGGTTTCTCAAACAACTACAATTAGATCTTCCATATGATCCAGCAATCCCACTTCTGAGTATATACCCAGAGGAATGGAAGTCATCATGTCAAAGAGATACCTGCACTCCCATGTTCACCGCAGCTCTGTTTACAGTAGCCAAGACATAGAACCAAGCTAAATATCCACCGATGGATGATTGGATAAGGAACCTATGGTGTATATACACCACAGCATACTACTCTGCCATAAAAAAGAATGAAATACTCCTATTTACAACAACATGGATGATCCTGGAGAAACTTATGTTGAATGAAATAAGCAATAAATAAGGAATAAATACCACATATACTCACTCATATGTGGGAGCTAAGAGAGAAAGAAGGAAGGAAAGAAAGACCATAGTAGTGCGTTGGACTTGCAGAGGGAGAGAACATTCTAAGGGCTACAAAATAGAGTTGGGGGAGGGGGGAGGAGGGAAGGGGAGAGAGGTTGGGGATAATTGGGTGGGGGACACAGGGTACAAACACAATTTGTGGAAATGGGTATACAGCCAGTATGAATGTGACCCCCACATCATGGGCATGAGGGGTGACAATCAGCTTTGTATCTCATGAATACTCATAACTAATAAAAAAATCTATTTTATAAATGTTAAGGAGTATCCTGATAATATTAAATAGGTACACACCAAAGTACAGAGGACATACTCAATTTAAGTATTTACATTTCCCATAATATTCTATTAAAACAAATCATATATACACATACACATTTTTTAAAGTCTGTAAATTTAATGACTACTTAAAAAATATATTATCAGGGGATATGGAAATTTTAACAAAATATTTTAAATTACAGTATACTGTTCAACCTTGTATTAAGTTTCTAGCTTGCTTTTATCATGCATACAGATATCAGAATTGTTGGATGAAGAATGCTATTTGCATATGTGGAACAATCCCTCAACAACAACAACAAAAAAGCCACACAGAGACAGTTTGTGATTAAGATTGTTTTAGTACTTAGTTGCTCCAAGTGTACCATTATTTTAGTCCAGTTTTTTTCACTCATATGAAAGAAGAGAATTCTTTTTGCAGTATCATAACTGTAAATTAATTGACTTACTCCAGCTGTAGTAGAAACAGCTGTCTATCATTAACTCATAATACATCTCAGGAGTCTTCACACAGTAGAGACTGCCTTTGCAATGAATAACCTTAATTTCTTTTTTGAAAACCATTCATTTAAATTTAGTTATCCAGCACTCATTTATTCCTTTAGTGTTCATCTATAATATTGTATTATACTGAAGTGAATTAAGTGAATTCCAATTCCAGTTGCTAGTAAAGGCTATTTAAATTCCCTACGATTTACGGGCCGGCCCAGTGGCGCACTGCTACAGTGCACCGCTTGGGAGCGTGGCGGCACTCCCGCCGAGGGTTCGGATCCCACATACAGACCGGCCGCTCACTGGCTAAGCGAGGTGCGGGCGCAACACGGTTGCGATCCCGTTGCCGGTCCCGGTCCGGTACGGGCGCGACACTGAGGGTTGTGATCCATTGCCGGTCACGAAAAAAGACAAAAAGGAAAAAAATAAATAAATAAAAATAAATTCCCTAAGATTTTGTTCTCTTATTTGCAAAATGGAGAAGACAGCACTCACATCATACAGAGGGAGTGAGGATCAGATGCAACAAGGCATACATAAACCCCAGCACAAATTCGGGCAATGGCAAATGGTAGTGGTTAAGGAAAAGGCTCATGGAATTCTGTTGCCTATGTACACATATTACCACGGCTACTTTGCAGTGATGCAACACATAGAAGTCATAGACCTGCCCTGTGTCTCTGTCTCCTCATCAATAAAATGGGGATAATGCTACCTTATTAGTTGCTTTAAGAAACAAATGAGTCAACTTATCCAAGCATTAGAATAAGGTTTGGCATGTAATAACAATAAATGCTTAATATTATTCAATAAAATCAGAAGTTCTTATTACCATAATGGTATTAGCATTTTGTCTCATATTGTGTGCCAGGTACTGCCCTAGGTACTGAAGACATAAGGTAAAAAGACACTCCACAGTTCTAAAATATCCAGTCTATAACTTTGTAACTTTTCACATGACTATGCTATCCATCCACAAATTTACACAGGAGAACAAAGTTATCTTTTTACATGCCGAGCAAAATCTATCCAAAGGAAAAATTATCCACAATTCTTTGGTGAAGGAATAGATGTTTTTCCTCTCAATCTCAGCACATTATTAAACTGAAAAGGAAAAAGGGCCAAAGGGAGCCAAGGTGGAATATAGGAACTATCTGATCCTGTCCTCGATGGGAAACTACCCTTCCCTAAAATACAGAACAGGAGAACCAAGTGAAACATCTTTTTAAATCTCATTGTCAGAGGTTTTCCAAAATAACCATAAAAGTTTCATATGATACAAAACCTACACCAAACAAAGGATGTCTAAAATTCTAACCAGTTCACATCAGAAGCAAGAAACTAAGAGTTGGGGCCATTGATGTGCTGTAAGCCAAATCTGCAGGGGAAGAAATGGCCTAATTAATTGGAGAAGAGAATCAGAATCCAAAAAAAAATCTTCAAAAGGTGGATAAACTGAGCCAAATCTAACAAGATGGTGTCAACCAATTAAAATGTGCTTGAAGGAAAAAGCTGAACACAGAAATAGAGAATTTGGAGGATTTGGATTGGTAAGTAAAGGTACTTTCTAGTTTTAGAGAACTCAACATGAGTCAGTAGTGTGCTTTGGCTGCCCAAACAACAGCAACAGTCACAACAGCAGCAGCACCCAAAAGAAGCCAACGAGGTCTACAGTGCAAAGCCAGAATTCTGGAACTACATGCAATTAGTGATACTAGGGTCAAATGTCACCTATTCAGTTATGAATACTGCCCTTAATGCGGGCCATTGACAGACAACAGAGCACTTTTTATTCATTCAGCTGGTATGTAGTGAGCACCGTCTGTGTACCAGAGCCCTCTATAGGCACAGGGGATTTAGAGGAAAACAGAACAGACAAAGCCACTATGGTCTCCATGAAGTTTACATTGGGAGAGAGAGGCTATAAAATAAAATAAAACCAGTTATTTCACAGACTAAGTGCTATGAAGAAAATAAAATAAAGGAAAGTGATTGATAGCAAGTGATAAGAATGAGCAGGAAGTAGAGCTGACTAAGACCAGGTGGTTGATAAAGATCAAGACTTGTGGAGGTGACCTTTGGTTGGGACCAGACATTTAAACATGCAGGAAAAGAGAATTCCAGGCAGTGGTGACAAGTGTAAAGTCCCTTAGATAGGAACAAGCTGGTGAGGCTGAAGGATCAGAAAGAAGGCTATTATGTTTGAAAGGTAAGGGAGAAGGCAGAAGCGAGATAAACCTAGAGGAGAGAGGTAGGCAGAGTCAGATGACGTAGAATCTTGTAAGGCACGATAAGGAGTTGATTATATTCACTGTACATTTAGCAGTCATTTAAAATTAAGAGCAGAGATAGATGTGAAATGATCTGATTTACATTTTTAAAAGATTTTTGGATTGTCACGTGGATAATAACTGTGGAGAGCAAGGTTGTGGAAGGTATGGAGGGAAATGTGCTCACACTATGGGACCCCGTGAGTGAATATGTCACAGGAGGAATGGCAGAAAGAAAAGGGACTTAGTTGGCAAAGGAAAAGACTAGGGGACACTGATAACCACTGTCTCCAAATCCTTATGCAGTTCCAGAATGAGAAGGCTCTTCGTCATGCTATCATGAAAGGGTAGACAGGCTTTGTGTCAACAATATGAAAGACTCTACACCTCAAGGGTTGGAACCCTGATCCACTACACACAGACTATGTAGCATTGAGGATGCAATGTCTGTGAGGGTTAAATAAATTAATGTACAAAAGCTACCTAGTAAGGGTCTAACTCATGATAACTACATTGTAAGTGATAGACTGTAATGACTATTATTATTAGGATTATTTTATTAGAAGGAAGCTATCTTTTGACAGTGGCTTTTAACCATTTTTGTTTTAGAAAACCATTTGCAAATGGGATAAAATATATGCCTTCTCTGCAGAAAAAAATGCATAAAAAACATGTACATTTACACACATACACACAGGATTTTGTGTACAACTTTCAGCACCTAACAGAATCTCTTGAGAGCCATGAAGGAGAGCATAGATCTTAAGGTAAGAAATTCTATTCTAAAAAAAAAAGGGAGTGGAGAAGCCTAACGTTGTTTTAAACATAAGCTTGTTGACTAGTGGAGAAATTACAGCAGGGAAAGTTCCTGGCCTTTCCATTCTCTCGAAGGAATTGTGCAGCAACCTGGAGAGAAGTTATCACACACACACACTATAACAACAGCAAAAGTGGTGGCAGCATAAAAGAGACCAGCCTTGAGGAACAGGTGTGCCACACTATGAATCAGAGCAATGACCAAAGGACCATAAGGCTTTCATCAGAAAGGGATGCATGGCATTGCTTGGCATGATGCATGAGATGTCCTTATGTCCTCCCTGAGCTACATCAGGAGACACTTGTAGGTGCTGTGGTTCCAATATTTCTGTGGATGGGAAATGAACCGGAGTAGTATTTGTTACCATTATCCATATGAACCCTGGGCTGGTGTGGCCTGGGGAAGCCTAAGAACTAGACAATCCAAAGCCTGTTATGCATGTGTGTGTGTTTGACAACTCCACCCACTGATTGGAAGAAAACAGGCATAAAAGTACCATGAGAGTCAAAGCCGGGAGTTGGACTCTGACTAAACAATGAGCTTTATAAAGACTAAGACTGTAAGAAAATAAAATGTTTTGCATTAGAAATGGTTAGACTTTTAAACAGAGCCTTAGCAGAGATATTGAAAAGGTTCCACAAGCTTTGAATGTAGTGTTTGAATTGAATTGTGCATGTGTATGTATCTGTGTGTGTTTGCTTTCTTCAAAGGAAATCTTACACAGAAGACCAATAAATTGCTATGATAGGAGAGCTGTTCTCATCACAATGAAAATGGGTAATACCCCCCCTCCACACACACACACTTGCCTGGCTCGAGGCAATCCATTAAAACCCTTGGTTCCTCAGGGTACAATTTGGAAACCACTAGATTTAGTAACTTCTAAGGGCCCTGATATGTTGTCTGTGAATTTGGAACACTAAATTGAGGTTACCTCGAATGTCCTTATCTTTATTTTAATTGAAAAATAATTGCATATATTTATGGGGTACAATGCAATGGACAAATATCACATGATCTCACATACATGGAATTTGAAAAAGTTGAAATCATAGAAATTGACCATAGAATGGTGGTTACCAGGGGCTGGGAAGGGGAAGGGGAATAGGGAGATATTGGTCAAAGGGTACAAAGTTTCTGCTAGGAGGAATAAGTTCTGGAGATCTATTACATACCATGGTGACTATAGTTAATAATATATTGTATACTTGAAAACTACTAAGAAAGTAGATTTTAAATGTTCTCACCACAAAAGATGACTCAAAATTCCTAGACATTCAATCATGGGGGCATAAAAGGCTTTAAAATCCCACCAGAAAAATACATACAGAAAAAATATAAAACTTGGTGTTTGACTCGGGATGCCTGCCCTTCCCCGGCCCCAGCCCACTTCCCATCCAGCATACCTCTTCATGGACTTGGGGGAGAGTTCCTTCTCAACTTCCTTCACAGGCATGCTGTAGGAGTCCACATTGTATTCACTGTCATCATCATACTCATGGTCTAGCAGTGTTCTTGCCCATGTTCCCATGTCATATGGGGGCAGCATCCCCCCAAACTCAGAGGGCAGGATCTCGGGATGAATTAGCTGGTGCAGACTATTCAGGTTGTTACCATGCAAAAATATCTACAAATGCAAAAAGAGGGGTGGGAGGGAAACACAGAGGAAACTAAATACCATCCAAATGCTGGGGAGAGGAGGTGAGGATAGGAAGAATAATACTGAAGCCCCTCATTCACTCTGTGGGACAGGCAGGGCTGGGACTATTATCCTAAAATTTCGTATAAAACTCTTGGGGCTCAGGGACGTTAAGTAATTTCTGGAAGGTCATATTGTCATTGGGTTAACGAGTTGGAGCCGCAAATTTGGTTTCCTGCTTCATAGTCAAGGGCACGAGCAAAATAAGGTGTGCATGCTGATCTGCACATCATCCTGGGGTTAGCTGTGCAAACCCGATGATATGCATAATGAATGCTGTTAAAACACACCCTTCTCACAAGGGATTCATCAGTTATAGAGCCTGTCAAGTTATTAAATCCAAAAGCTGTCACCAGTATGGCTTTCTCTTTATCGCCAATAAAAATAAGAATATTGTAGTCACTAAATTACTGCTTTATAATGCAAAGTGGTGATGTAAATAAAAGAAGTAGATTAGCATCATCATAATAAAAGGCTGAGTGAGGTTTATGTCCCAAAGGACTTATGTTCTGTAATGTTGCCAAAATCTCTCTACTACAGATTTCTGTACTAACTGTCTAAATAGAAAAAAAATAATGAATTGAAAATGTAAAACTGTACGTAAACATTAATTATTGGGATTATTGTCTACATAGAGTTGACATTTTTTAGATCTGGAGAATTATTCACGCCACAAAGTAAAGATTTGTTTCTCTGTAAATTGCTACCTCTTTCCTCTTCTTTCAATTTCAAAACTGCAGAGCAGCCTTCTCTGATAAAGCACGTTTGTTGTCTCATGTAAATTCATGTAACATTTATCTAAGGATTATAGTTTATAAGTAACTTAAAAATAAGTTCATACTTCAGGTTCGAGATGAACAAGCTAACACATTCATGTTTGTTTTCCATACCTTTAGAATCTGCTGAAGTCAATATATCGAAAAGCAAAGAAAGATTAGTCTAAAACATCAAGTAAAATTAGAGGGATGGGAGTCACCAATTAACAAGTATTTTCAACAAGTTATGGAAGAGGAAAAGCAGATGACAACTGGTTCCTGACCAAAATAGGCAGAGAAAATGGATGCCAGTAACACATGCTGTGGGGCCAACAGCGGTGCAAGATGCTGTCTGCCCCACAGCACACTAGGTTAACTGCACACTTTACAACTTCCCACTACTGTTTGAGAGCACAGCAGCCAGGATTCAGGCCCAGGAAAACACAAACACACACACACACACATATACACACACATAAACACACACACACACACACACACACACGTTCCCAGATTCTTCTCATGAGAAATGAAAATAATTTTCCCAGGCAAGTTAAGTTCTGGCAACTTTGAACATTATTTTATTAGGTACATCATCTTTATTTTATCAGATGTGTTTCTTCATGTAAGAAACCTTCTCCAAATCATGCAAGAATTATGGTAGCAAACCCTTAGAGCAGTAAATGTAATCCTAGCACACGACTTCCTCTCTCTCCTCTAACACTCTGTTACCTCCTCCCTCAGCATCACTTTCAGCTTTGGCCTCACTCCCAATTTCACTGAGAAAATAGGGCAACCAGATGAGACCCACCCACCAGCATCTGTGTCCATGTGCTTTGCCTTCACTGCTAGTTCAATGAGAGGATAAACCCTGCAAAGGCCAGCCTCTCCACCTGTGCACTAGAATCATCCTCTTTTCTCAACAATTTTCTCTGGTCTGTCTCGCATCATCAAATTTCCTCTCTCTGCTGGAGCTTTCCCATCAGAGAAAAAACATGCTGACTCCACACCCCCTCCCCCACAGGCACCTAAAACCTCTCTTGGCCCTATTTCCACCTCCAGTTGTTAAGCTATTTCTCTCTTTCCCTTTCAAGCAAAACTCACCAAAGGCGCTGTCTATATTCATTGTCCAAATACTCTCTTCTTATTTTTCCTAAATCCAGTCCAAACAGGTTTTGTTTCCCATCACTGCATGAAAACAGCTCTTGTCAAGATCTTTTCTCATTACTAAATTGAGTGTCCAATTCTCAGTCCTTATTTATCTTGAACTCTCAGTAGCACTGGATATAGTAAATGATTTTCTTCACTTAAACATTTTCTTCTAGTATCTCTTGATTTTCCTCCTACCTTGCCTCTTAACTTATACTTCTTTACAGTCTCTTTTGCTGATCACCCCAACATCTTAACATCAAAGAGCTCCACATCTCAGCTCTTGGATCTATTCTCTTCTTTATGCTCACTCTTTGGTGATTTCATTCAGTTCACGTCATTCATTCAGTGGCTTTAAAATGTTCTCTAAAAATGTATGTATGTCTTGAATCCACACCTCTCCCTTGAATTCCATATTTGTATTTCCACTCTCTATCTGACATCTCTACTTAATGTTCAATGGACACCTCAAATTTAACATGTCCAAAATTGAACTCACAATCATCCCCCCTAAATCTGTTCCTCCCTATTTCCAACATCAGTTAATTGTATGACTATCCTTCCAGTTCCTCAGACCAAGACCTTCAACTCATCCTTTAATCTTCTCATCATCTAAGTTGTCAGCAAATCCTTTTGGTGATGTCTTCAAAATGTATCCTGAGTTTAATCCCTCTGACAGTTTCCACCCCATAACCCTAATTCAAGCTACTATCATCCTTTAAACTATTACTGCACTATCCTGATAACTGCTGACCCTCCTTCCACTCTTCCATCTACACTCTATTCTCAACAGGGCAACCAGAATGATCATGTCAAATGTAAGTCAGATCATATCATTCTGCTCACAATTCCCCATTGACTTCTCTTTTACCTTAGAGTAAGCCCTATAAGGCCCAACAGAACTATTTCTTTGAACACATCTCCTACTACTCACTCCTTGCTGAAACACAGGACATTTGCAGTGGAGATTTTTCTTCTGCCTGGAGATTTCTGCCTCCAGATGTCCATATGGCTTGTTGTCCCACTTCCTGCAAGTCTTTGCTTTAAAGTCCCTTTGTCAGAAAAGCCTTCTCTGGTAAACCTATTTAACACAGAAACCCTGCCGAACCTGGAAAGCCCTAGGTACTTTCTCTGCATCATGTTTTTAGAGCATCTGCCACCTTCTAATATACAGATGGTCACCAACTTACAATGGTTCCACTTAAGGATTTTTCAACTTTACAATAGATTTATCAGGAGGTAACCTCATCTTAAGTCGAGGAGCATCTGTGTTACATAATTTACTTTGTTGAGTTATGCATATACAGCTTTGCCAATTCATAAAATATACTGTTGCTTCTCCAAAGCTGAGATTTATTGAAAAAATATGTATTATATGAAGATGCTCTTTTAGAACAGTTAGATGTGAATTGCACCTCTCAAATGTGAATTGGGTAATAAAGTTGCATCAATTGTTGCCCAATTGTTAAGGTTTTGCTCTTAGATTTTTCTTTGTGTTGACCAGTTATATATAATTACATCATTTATCAGTTTTACTATTTTTTTCTCCTTATATTTTTTCTCTTCCTCAATTTCATGCAATAAGTCTGGTTTTTGTGGGCTCTTTTTTGTCTCTGACTGCTTTACAGTTCTAAGAATTAGCCTGAATAATAGTTTCATTTTTAAACTTTTATTTTCCTACACTGTTCCATTGAAGAGATTATGCTAGGTGATTTGGAGTGGAAAGGAAGAAGGTGAAATACTTTTGAGAATCAGCAAGGAGTAGAAGAGCCCACCATATGTTCAAAGAAGGAAAAATTTGTGGTAATTAGTAGGAAAACCTGCTGACAGCTCTTGGGAAAGTGGCAAGACCACAACTGTGGACTAATTAAAGAATGCCCTGGGGTAGTGGGTTGAAGTCTTGCCCTTAGGTTCTAGCTTCAGCAAAGATGCCCTTTTTTCACAGACAACTTGGGGATAGACCTTAATTCGAGGTCCCCTTAATTTGGCTTGAATAATGAGGATCAAAAGTGGCCATGATACATGGGAAATTTGTGTCTGCATGAAAAATTCCAGACACTGGTGAGATTTTGAGCAGAAGGAGCCCCTGTAATACCTTAAGTTGATATTCTTACCAGCCCAGTGTGCTGGAGACTCACGGTCATTTATTAGTTGTAAAAAATGAAGAACCAGATGTTTCTCACACCCCTAAGTTTGTAGAAGAAGATTCACAACTGCTTCTTAGGTGTCCTTTCATCAGTTTTTCAGAACATAGATTTTTAGCTTGTGAAGTATAAGGTGTTTGAGCCAAGTCGTGAGGCTGAGTCACTTCAAAAACCAGTGAGGAAATGTAATAGCTTTACATTGTGCACTGACTATAGAAGTTGAATTTAAAGGTATTTTAACCTATAATTAATTATTTAATTAAAATGGTAGAGTTCAGATCCCTCCCTTGCATCAAGAATAATGCTAGCAATGCATTCTTCTAAGCATTGACAAAATTGTCAAATTCAATCCCCAAATCCCTAAACCCAGTGCTCTTGTTTTCTAGAATTGATCCTCCTCAGTGTTTTCCAACAGAGCAGAATCATGCTAAAATCATGTTGGAACAAGCCACCCCTGTATTCAAAACCCTTCAAGTGCTGCTCATCTCACTCTAACTGAAAGCCCAAATCCAGGCAGTGGTATACAAAGCCCTATATGATCTGGTGCATTCTAGTCCTCTACTCCCCTCCCCCATAGCTCATTCTGCTCCAATTTTCTGGCCTTGCTATTTCTCAAATACACCAGGTGTACATCTACCTAAGGAGCTTTGCTATTTCCTCTGGCTGGAACCTTCTTTCCCCTAAATCCACATAACCAGCTCCACTACCTACTAGCTATGATTCAGAGCAAACTCGTTAAACTTTGGTGCCTCATTTTCCCATCTAAAAAGTGAGAAAAATAATAATAGTTACCCTAAAGCATAGTTGTAAGAATTAAATGAATTAACATATGTGAAGTACTGAGAACAGCATGTGGCACAGAGTGAATACTACATAAGCATGCGCTAGTCTAATTTGTACTACAAGCCCCAGTGGGTTTTTTGGTTCACCTGATCACCCCTCATAAAACGAAGCTTGAATGTGCATTGTGAGGCCCTTCAATACACTTTCTGAATCCTAAAATATGAATTAATTTGATTCTTGGTGGTAAAAACAATTCTTCATATAAATTATAATTATCTCCAAAATTTTTCTTCCTAAACTACTGAAACATATTCAACAAATTTGTATATGGTAAACTCTCTGTTTGCTAATATTTGATATGTACAAAAACTAATATCATACTCATAATGAGGCCTCTACAACACAAAAATACCTGAAGTGCCTTCTTGGTCATTGGTAAACATGAAAAATTATCTTCCATATATATTTAGAAATAAATATATTTAACCACAGAACTAATCATTTGAAAATTGGACACCCAGCATGAGAATGTAAAAATAGCCCTAAATATGGATCTGGAATATTTGGGTTTGCATATTAGCTCTACAACTTTGCAGCTGTGTTGATGAGTAAGCAAGTTACTAATCCATCCTAAGATTTACTTTCCTTAGCTGTGAAATAGATTATGCTTACCAAGTTTATTTTTCAGAGCTATGGCAAAAATTAAACAAAATAATGTGCATCAAGATGCATTTTTAAAATCTAAATTTTAATAAAATTATAAATGTTTTCAGTATTTACCATGTGTCATGCACAGTACTGAATGATCTTAATCTCAGAAAAACAATTATTTTGTTCTATACACTTTGATTATCCTCATTATAAGATTTACTGGATCTTAGAGAGACTTCAAGTCATTTGTATTTTTTAAAAAATTAAAATTTGTACACATTAGTATTTTCCCAAAATGTGTGATTGATCATGATAGTCATTAAAAAATTGCATTAGATATCACAAAGTTCACTATACTCAGTGCAATACATATTGTGAAATAACAGTGAATTATCAGCTTATAAAATAACTTTTGTTTCAACGTTATTGAAATTAAGTATACTAACAATAGATATTAAAAATATAGTAACTTTCACAAAAGAGTTGACCTTTAAACTGAGGCTTTAATATATAATGAATGTGCTAAAATGTCCTCCCCTTTTGTGAGAAAGCAGGAGAGCTAGCTTTTAAATGTTTATTTCACAGGTACACTGTTCAGAATTAACCACAAGCTCTCTAAGAATTTTGAAGTCCTTTATGTTGAATATTTATACACAATATAGAAACACATTTTACCACAGCCAATATTATACACGTAGTAGGCATCATAATTCATTGAATGAGGGAAGAAAAAGGATTAAAAACAAAGAAACAAATACCCTTTTCCGAGTCTTCTCTTTTAGGAAAGGCCGGATCACGGTGTACAGGGCATGGATATACCACGGCTGATTAACAAAATGAATTCCTCCAAATCGTGCTGGGAAACTATCCTAGAGTAAAGATGGAGAAAAACCAATACACTGAGAAGAATTAGGTAAAGTCATGTAGTATACAGGTTTGTTATTTCACACATTTAAATGGGATTATCTGTAGTTAGGACGAAGAAAGAAGGGAAAACCTTACCACGTTAAACACTGTAACCTTCATACTGAAACTGAAACAACGTGTAATAAAGCAAATCCTTCTCCAGAATAGGTTGCTGATAAGAATTTCAACATTTTTAGGAGGGTGCTACTTTAAGTTTGCAAACTAACAGTCATTGCATGTCAAGAAACAAAACTAAAAGTTATTAGAGATTTATCAAATCATTAACCTATGTTGGACAGAAGTTTCATTTATTTATGTTTAGATTCAAATGCATTTAAAGTGTTTTATTAAATTCAAAACTCACTTTATTCTCCTTATCTTATTATTTTATCAACTTTGTTATAAACGTTCTCCTTTCCTTATTTTAGCTACAAAAAAAATGCTTAATCAAAATAAAAACCCAGAGTTGTACTGAAAGAAATTTAAGGATGCATTTCACTAAGTCAAATGAAAGTCAAAACCACTGAGCTCAGCTCACAGAAGGAAAATGGAACTATCGTAAAACCAGCCTCCCCTTCAGCAACAACCAACCTTGTGTAAGGTTTGACTCTGCAGTGGTGCAGAGAAGTGTTTTGTCTACTCATTATTAAACAGGTGCATCCCTAGTCCACTCCAAAGTATGAAAGGAATCCTTCAGCCAAATGAATTACAATATTTGACACTGCGCTTGAGTATGCTAAGGATGCCACATAAATGGGTTTGATTCTTATTACTCGTTCAAAGTTACACACTAAACTAACCACAAAGGTCTGCTTTAGAAAAAAACGAAACCAGTAAAAGTGTCTCTCAAGAAGCATCGTAATAGTTATTCTTCTAGATTCTATTTAGAGCATGAACAGGAACAAAAGAGAAGTAAAGGAAATGAAGTAATTATATATATATATATATATATATATATATATTATATAAAGAAATGTTTTTTGAACAAGCTTCTGTGGTCAAAAGCATGCATAGCACAGCCCCATTAAAATATTTGTTTTCATTGGGACACTTTCGAGCATTAGTGAATTAATTTAGTTGCCTGCATATTGATTTTCAGAACTGATGAACATTATTTTGCAAAGTAATTTTTGTGTCTGAGAATAGCACTCTAAAAAGCAACAGTACTTCAAAAAATAAATTAATTAGAATTTGCCAAAGGTAAAACGTGTCTCCTTTTATTTCAGTGCCTTACTTCTTTTATAAATACACAGTTTTCATTCATCAAGAGGTTATTAGAATAACAGAAATGAACCAGATAGAAAACCAGGCATTGTACGTTTTTCAGTTACAAAATTTTTATATGTAAAAAGCAGATAAACAGTGTACATATAAACAATAAAGAGAACACTAAGACAAACACGTATATCTCCACACAGCTGGTAACTTTAAAGTCCACTGTATTCATATTCTTTCACCCTCTCCCACATTTTAAAATTTCATATTCCCTTGCTTATACTATATATTTTATTTTACAAATATTATAAATTTATAAACTTTATTTTTTCTAAATTTTATATTTCATATATTTTATTTATTATATTTTGTATTTCACTATATATATATATATATGTCCTCCTAAAATATTTTGTTGTTTCTTAAGTAATTAAACTTTATAAAAATGTTGTTATAGTGTATATATTCTTCTGTTGTCACATTATTTTAGAGGTTTATTGTGTTTGAGGTTTATACACATGGTGTGTAGCTCTAATTCATTGTCACTACTGTATAGTACATCATTTGTATGGTACACTATAATTAATTTATTTTCTTCTGTCCATGCTTTTTGTTTGTTTTGCCATTACCATTATTGCTGCTCTGAAGACAACATTCTTTTTTTTTTCCTTTTTTTGTCTTTTTTCGTGTCCGGCAATGGACCGCAACCCTCAGTGTCGCACCCGTACTGGACCGGGACCGGCAACGGGATCGCAACCCTTGGTGCTGCGCCCGACCCTCGCTCAGCCAGTGAGCGGGAACCGGTCTGTATGTGGGATCCGAACCCTCGGTGGGAGCGCCGCTGCGCTCTCAAGCGGCGCACTGTAGCAATGCGCCACCGGGCCGGCCCCTGAAGACAGCATTCTTAGACACATCTTTTGTGCATGTTCAAGTGTAATGTAGGGTATTTATCTAAAAGTGTTAATGTTGAGTCAGAGTGTATATATTTCAAATGTACAAAATTGTAAGAGCGCTTGTACCAATTTATACCCCTCCTTCCCCAAGTAATGCACGAAAGTTCCAGCTGTTCCATATACCAAAACTGATATTGTCAATCTTTCTAATTTTTGCCAAATTAGTGGGTATAAAACAGATTCTCATGTGACATTAATTGCCAGTTTCTTGGTCTTTGCTCATTTTGTTTAATTTTATCAGTAATAACACTGTTTAATAGCATGCACATTGTATACACAGGTATTTTATTTCTAAATCCTGAACAGTTTGAATTTATTGTTTGCTCTCTTTACTTTGTTCATGGCATCTTGTATATGGTTAACCCATATTTGGTTAATATTAATTATTGGAAATCCTAAAGGAGCTGGCTCGAGGATGCCTTTCTCTAGCTCCTATTATGTGCTATCAACCTGGTACAGCTTTCATTTAATTTCCCATCTTGAGACTTCCCTGACTGCAATGTATTTCCAAATCATAGACCCATATGAGACAATTATGGCCTCAAATTACCAAGAGAGACTATTATCATCAACATCATTGTTAATACTGATATTATTATTACTATTATTACTTTTCCACCTGGATATGGGAGTGACAGAGAGGTTTCCTTAAAGGCTTCCTAGCCAGAGAGTTTTCTTATCACCACTTTTTCCTAAGGGTGTAGCACCTGGAGGAATGTAGGATTTCACATCCAGTCTACCACTTGTTCTCAACATGTGAAAGCCTCTTCTGTGCTCATGAGCACCCCACACCCTAGGCAACCATTACTCACTAAAGCTCTAAGCTCTTGTGCTTAACAGCTTACTTGCCCCCAGAACTTCCTAGGCTTCACCTATGTTCCTGTATTTTTCTTATAGGTTTGTGTGTGTGCTTGGCTTAAGATGACTCATCTCATGTTCCTGAGAGTTCAGTAATGCACATGGAAGTATTTTGTTGTGATGGATCCAACATTCTGGTACTTCAAAGCAGGAAGATCTTTAAAATTTTTTAACCTGCTGTATTGCCTGATGTGGATCTACTTAATATGTTTTAAAAATATATTCCTGAATAAGCATTTAATTTCTAGAACAAATCTGAATGAACACCATCTATCAAAGCTATTAAGCCAAAAGTCAGAGCTCAAGTGATTCTTAAACTCTGAGAATCACAGGGAAGCCATGTTTCTTCTCTCCTGAAAAAACAGATATGCACAGATTTACACACAACTTTCACGTGATGGATACATCTTTAGATATACAACAACTTGATCAGTGCCAAATCACAGTTGAGGCAAAGTGAAAGAGCAGGGAAATCTGTGACTTTGCAAACAAGTAGATCTAGCTTAAAAGTCTGCTTTGAAGCTACCTCTCAGGCATCAAAGTCCAAAACAAGAATCCTTGATTTCTTCCTTTTCCTCACTGTGATCCTACTCATTTCCAATCATGCCCCCAGTCTTGCAGTATTTACCCATTGCCTCTGTGGAGTTTCATATCCTTCTTGCACATGATGCCAGTGTGATCCCACTAAAATCCAAAACCCACTCCCTCCAGCGCACATCTCTTCCCTGAATCCCCTTCATGTCTGCTGACACTGTGCTGTCTTACAGCTTGTTGACTTAGCTCTCTCCCATGCACCTACCATGTCCTTCCCTTCTTTACTGTATGATCTATCTTAGCAATCCCTTAAGACTTAGCTCAGGGAACATCATCTCCAAGAAGATCCCTTTTTGATCCCTTCTCTCTCTCTGACCCACTGCTCACCCATAAAAGCCTGCTCTCTGCCATCACCAGCACAGTGCCTGAGTCCATCACATGCCACATGACCCTGAAATTGTCTCTTTGTCTGCCTCCACTCATAAACTGTGAGCTCTCTGAGCACAGAGATTGTGTGTTCTCCATGGTCAATCAGTGCTGGCCTGGAATCCGTTTCCACTCAGGTCATGCCCCACCCTACAGGACAAGGCATGGAAGGTCAAACATACAATTCTAAATGGGAGAGTTCTGCCAACACGATGCACTTGAGCAAAATTTAAAAGGCGAAAGGGAGGCAGCAGTCACCTTTTTGCCAAAGCAGCAGCTACTAAGCAGGCTTTTAGCTGAGAGATTGTGTTGGAGTGAGCAGGACTGAAGCCATGCTGGGACCTAAAATCTCCCGGGCTGTAGGAAAATTTCAAGGGACATAGTTTTTTGCTTAGCATATTTTTCTGAGTTCCCCCTCTTCCCATGGTTATTTGCTATTTCGCAAGTGACATTATTTATGTAAATGTAAAGTTGTTTTCCAGTCAGCCTAAAACTACAGACTTGCCATGAGACATATACTGTCCAGACCTGGAGAAACCAAAGAAGACAGGAATACAGGTATGCTGATTCCACTCTGAAGCAAATCAAAATCCAGCAGGGCCCTAAGATAATATTAAGGACGAGCACAGAATCCAGAAGGAGCCTTAGAGAATTTGCACCTGGCCCCTTACACAATCCCCTCTCCTGTTTTTCATTTTCCACATTCCATCCTCTCAACCCACTCTTTAAAAACGCCTCAGTAAATCTGAGCCTTTGAGATGGTTTTAGTCTAGTCATTCTCCTTCAGGTTTAGCAGAGAGATGGGTTAGATTAACATCTCTCCTTAGACCACTGGTATTCCCAAATAAAAGCTAACTTCCATTTTCACCATCAATTTGACTTTTGGGTCATTTGTTTTTGTTTGGGGCAGGCAGCCAGACACGGGTTCAGTAACAAGATTTTGGTGAGCCTAAGCAGGGAGCTGAATGCCCTGGGGT